GTGTATATGTGGATGCGGATGTGTATGTGTGTGTGCGCGCGCGTGTATGTATGTTCCTATCATCACATACGTAAACGACACATAACACTTTTCAATTTGTTTCTCTCCTTTTAATAATCCCTTTACCCGCAGCGTTCTCCATTGTTCAAACACTCTAGCCTTTTGTCGTATCTTCGTCATGACTAATCCCCGTTGTCTAAAGTTTTTGTTTTTTGAAACCCATTCTCGTGTTTTAGTGATTCGCGTACCCGAAACGATCGGTATCACCCCCAAAACTTGATACGTCACCGGTTTCCTTTCCTTTTCGACGTCTCGCATTTCTCCCTCTTGCTCTATCCGTTCGCTTAGCTGTGTTTCACCTTCGTGTTCGAGCTTTTTCAGTTTTCCCACCCATTTACTTTCTTTCCAACCAAAGAAAATTGGAAAAAGGGATCTCGAGACCGCGATTCGTTTCGTTCCGATTGATTTTCATTTTAAGTTACTCGTTATCCAGATGTCCGCCATTTCGTAATCGCCGCACGTCCGCCATTTTGAACGGTTTCGCGGGAACGAAAGCGGACGACGGTCTCGGGAAACCTCGTTTCCTTTGGTTTTCATTTCTTCATTCGTCACGTTTTCACGCAATCGTTTTCGTTTTCGACTTTTGATTCTCACTCCGCTCCGAAAATCGCTATCGCTTTTCAGGAATCGAACGCCAAACATCTCCGCTGCTGAACGATAAAATCGCACGATCGTTTTCCCCACTCGTTTTTTTTCTTCTTTTTGTTTCTTTCTTCCTGTTTTCTTCACTTTTCCCGTTTTGCTCCCTTCCCTTTCGCCCAGAGTAAAACACGCGCTCGAGCTCTATAGAAATCACGCAGTCCCCGCCTCACGCACGCATCCTCACTCACGCGTTGCATTGACACATGCATCCCATTCACGTATCTCACACTGTTTCTAGTAGTCAGTTTACATATTACAGTTGTACATATGCAATAATGCGGCTTTGTAAAAAAACGGATCTATATATAATATAATATGTAGAGCTTATATATCACGTGTAACGACGATCGTGGGGGCTCCCCCGGATTCCTCGGGTCTTACGCGCGTCGTATAAAAAGGAGTCTTGTGCGTTTAAACATGTTATCGTGATTGTAGATGGACTGCAACTGAGTCGTTGCCAGACGTTGTTATCTCTGTTCTTGTTTTCTATGTATTGTGCTTTACATACTTTGAACATTATGAATCCTGTAACAATCTACACCAATAGATTGTATTTGTTCGCGTTACGGTAGGTAGACATTAATAACAGGCGACTTAAAAAAATGATTCCCTGTTTGAAAAATTAAACAGGAACAATATATGAAGTTTCATCAAACTGCGATTAATTCCTTGCCATGCGATTTATATCAGAATTGCATTGTACAAGATTATTTGATTATGGACAAGTTGTTAGAAAAGAAAGGAAGTCTATACTTGTATGCTTGTTAAATGCAGCTTGAAATCTTCATTTCGAGACTTGTTTGATATTATAGGACAAGGGATTCAAATCTATTGATCAGTCAAGCTCCCCTATTCTTATTCTGTACAGACTGTTCCACTGAACTTTACCCTTCGATGTTAATAAATATATTCTACATTCTTCTATTGTTCTATAAAAGGTGAAGAAGAAATGGAGGTCATTTACGCTTGGTTTTTTGTGGAATATTCAACTGTCGAAGATAAAGTTCCATAGAATATTCTGTACGTCTCTATGGAAGATAGAGGCAGAACAGAGATTCAGTGCGAAGGGAATCATTTTCTTAGCATCCTCGAGTAATCAGTTAAGTTAGCTACGTCTGCCGACTTTACTCTCTTACAATGACTCTTAGTTATTAAAAAATGTAAACCTTAAAACGTATCCTTCTGTTTCTAATAAATCGAAGAAGACCATTTCCACGATTTTTAAAGAATCAAAGAAGATTCTCAAGAATCTTCTGCTTCCGGAGACTCGGAGAAGGTTCTGAAGGATCCCCTATTTCCAAAGAATCGTTGAAGATTCCACAGAGTCTTCAACATCCAATAAATCGCGCGAAACCGAGGAATCCGCCGAAGAAGTCTCTAGATCCCCGCTTGTACCCTCTTTACAGGGTATAACAGCAGAAGTATAGTCCCGACGCTAACCGGACAAGTAGTATCTCGGCTGTACGGAATGTACAGGTATATTTATTATCGTGGTCGCTCAGTGTTCCCTGTGTTTTGTTAATGCTTTGTTATAAAAACGATGAGGTAGTACTGTCATTACGTATCTCATTTGGCAGAGCACGCGGGCGAACGGGATCGCCCGCGATTATTCGCGATGTCTCTAACATGATTAAATAAAACGAAAACGAACAAACATAAAAGAAAGAGAGAGAGGGGGGGCAGTGAGAGGATATGAAAAAATGTGAGAAAAAGAGAGACAGAGAAGGAAAAATATAAAGAAACGGGGGTAAAGAAGAATTATAAATGCAAGGAGTTAAAAAGAAAACAGTACTGGCAAATACGCGATAAATCACGATCTGTGTCTCTATAACGTTACTCTCTGCGAATACATATATTATACGTACGTTCCTTAGCTCGCGGGTGTGTTCCTGTTTAAACACTAAATAATCATCTATTCGTCTATTGTCTTTGATACCTTCGCGGTAGGCGTATCGTTGTGAGATTAACTCTTGTTTCGAGGTTCAACTATAATGCAATAAACGGAAATCTACTAGAGAAAAAAGAATGGGAATGAACGACAGGGTAAAATAGATGAAAACCACAGAGAAAAAGAGAAAAATTAAGAAAGAGTGAAAGAATAGCAATCAAGGAAACAAAAATCGAGGCAGTGGGGGTGGGGCGAAAAAGAACGATAAATAAAAATCATTGATAAACGTGTCAAATACTGCAACAAGTAATATCGTAATGCCAACCTGACTAGGAGTAATCTATATAATCTATCTATATAGGTAAATGTAATATAACTATTGCATTGATATTACATCCTATACAACCGAGCTATCAATTAATCTATGTATCAATCGTATCTGGTCTATTGGTTGTCTTGTCCCCTTATTATCTGGATCCGCAACTATTGCTTCGGACAAAAGTCCGTATTTAAACATTGTAAACAGGTAACAAAGTGGTAGTGATTGTTCGCGTGACGTTAACGTTTGTGCCGCCATCGTTCCCAGTGACTGCGATCCGAACACGGTTCACGCGTTTAAATGGTAGACAGAAACGGTAGTGAAA